CATCATCCAGTTGAAACTGCAGTCATAAGACAAGAGCCGCTTCAGCGGGAGGGCGGGATAAAAAATTAAATAAATAAATAAATAAAGAGAAGAAGGCCTCTGGCCAGCACAAGACATAATCCCATCAGGTGCCATTGTTCAAACTAGTTTCCCATTACATTCAACATTGCCCACTCCTGTGGACCTTCGACCCCAGTACCAGTTAGCATATTTTTGGGGACGGACTACCAGGAGGTGTGCCAAGAGAGGAGGCCAAGATGAGCCCACCCCTCGACCTCCCAATAAAAGTGAGGGCCCAACTGTCAGCTAGGCTGCCATATGGTTTATAGGCCTGGAGTTCACCTGCCTGACCTCTGTACAAGTTGGTGCCACATTCTTTCCCTCTTCCCCACTGTTATCGCTGACCTTGTATTCCTGTCTGTGTAGTGTCTCCACTTTAATTAACCGTGAGACTAGTTTTGTTTCTTATCCTCGACCATTGGTTATTCTTTCCTGCCCGTGGGAAACAGGCCAATTGGCTCACAGGTGGTGGTGGTGGACCTCTTGAATCCTCTATATCACTATATGCTTGTTCTATACTCATCATTCCTAACAGTGACCATGTTACTGCAACCATAGTACTAACAATAAAATAAAACCTTTGTTGGAAGTGTGTGCTCTGTTGCTTGGCTGTGGGTCCTGACACCAACACCAGCTCTCTCTCTCTCTTGCTTGCACCCTTGCTCTCCCTCTTCCTCTCTCCCTTGACCCCCTCCTACCCTCACCCTGAACTCACGACTCTTGGTGTGTGCAGCCAGTCTCCTCGTGCCTCTGTTGGTTCAGGACACAACCCCCAACCCCTTACTTTTCCTGAGTGAGTATTCAACGAAAGTATTCAACGAAACATCCTGCCAAAGTGAATGTGCTATTCTCCTCTCTCTCTATTTCTTAGGTACTGTATACTTGTGTGTATGCTTGTGTTATTGTATGCTTGAAATACCTTTAATAAACAAAATCAATTTATACTGACATCAGTCTCAGCGTCTATTTAGCGTGTCTGGAGGGAACTGCATAGATGCTTGCCCCTGCAATTGCCTATTGCCTGATTTAAGATCATAACTCCCCATATTAAATAACGATTCAAGGCAATTTGGCGAACAAGGGGAAGGCCTTGGCCTCTATGCCCTGTTGTCAGCCGTCCAGAGGAACTGGTTGTGAGACAGGCGGCTGGACCAGATGGTCTGATCCGGCAGGGCTCTTCTTATGCTCTTATTTATTTATTTATTTATTGGGGTTATATCCCGTCCTTCCACATGGGCTCAGGGCGGCTAACAAGAGGCAATTGCCACACATAACAGTAAAAACCAGATAAAACAATCAGATTACATTACACATTTAAAATCGGTGCTCACAACAATATATCATCCAAGACGGGGACTCCAGTGCAATGTTTAAGAGCTGCTGCTGTCTCTTCTTGACCGGTCTACGCTGTCCGTTCTCCATTCCCAAGGCCAGTTTGCATTGCCAGAGATGGCAACGTGATCTGTCAAAGGGCAGTTTCTTTCCCAAGATCGTTTCAGAGGGTGGCCATTTTGGTCTGCTGCAGAACAGCTGGGCCTAAGTCCAGGAGCACCTAAGAGGCCCACAAGAGTTTCAGGGCCAGCCCATCCGAGAGCCCAGAGGCTCCCCTGGCCAGACGCGAGGAGGAATGTCTTCTCTTCTGCGTTCCCTCCTGGTCTTTGAAAGCACTTCTCATTCCAAAAGAGAAATATTTCACAGGCGTTTTTCCAGTACTCTCCCAGATTTTCAATTTTCCTGTCAGAAAAATGGGAGGGGGGTTGTTTGCCTTAAATGATCAGGGGTTTTTTTGGGGTGTGTGTGTGTCACATCGCTGATCCTACCAGGGTAATCTCAGGAAACAACACAAGATTGTTTACACTTACACCATCACAAGACAAAAGGTCTTCTGGCACTCTAAAGACTCCCTCATCCATTGTGACAGGAGCTTCCATGAGTCAGAACATCTTTTGACGTGGGCTCTGCCTGAACATGGGAGGTGCCACAAGACTCTTTGCTGTTTTAACTAACAGTTTAATTTCTCCATATATTTTAATAGGAAGATTCTGAAATATAGGAGATAAAACACACTCACATTCATGCCACTAAAATAATAATAAACAAAACCAGAGCCAGTGTGTACAAAATAATTTATTACAGCATTACATCCGTTGGCATTATTTTACAGGGAGTTTTTCGTTCAACTATTACTGATCCTAAATGGCAGACCATCTTAATTATAACGATTTGTTTCGATAAAATTTCCCTTCTTGAATTTTGCATAGGGCCTAGGAAACATTATGGATACATTTGCATTAACTGTAAAATTAAAAAAACCTGGTTCTTTTATTAGTTTTGATAAAATGGATTTTCTGTACAAGCCACAATGTATTGTAAGTTTCATAGTAGTTTATATAAAGTCGTCAAGGACAGCCATTTGTCTCCCGAGGAGAGCTGAATTAAAACCCAGACATGTTGTGTGTATGTGTGTGTGTGAGATGCACATTCAGGTTAATGCACAAAGGCAAAAAAGAATTGCTTTGATCTGTAACCAGTCTAATTGTGCTCATTTAAGTTCCTTTTTCTTTTTAGAAAAAAAAAACATTAAATGCTAGTTACTCTATAGCATTTTAAAGCAACAGCATTTCAACAGAAGTAGAACTAGAGTTCACAATTCTTAAATCAAAATGTGAGTGTTTAATGGAGCTCAGTATTAAACTGAATCCAGGGCCCGGAAATAGCCACTTTCTTTGCTGCTATCCTGACAGTACAATCCTAAACAGAGTTATACCTTTCTAAGTCCACTGAAGTCAGTGGGATTAAAAGAGTGGGGAACTCTGTTTAGGACTGCACTAGTAACATCTAAAAGCTGGGAAGGGGTGAAAAGACTATATGAACACTGATAGTGAGCATTCATTTAAAAATCTAAATACGCCGCTCAAATTAATAGCTTTGGGGAAAATAGACTTATGACTTCCGTAACAGTGCCAATTGTTTTTGTTTTTTTAAAAAAACCCATTTAAAGAGCACTATTTCCTTATGATACCCTGAATAGACAGAAGGTTTCCACTGGATAGGACACGCAGTGTTAGATCCATCTGACAGTGCAGTCCTCCTATGCAGCTCACTGAAATCCTTGGGCTTAGACCAGAGTAACTCTGCAGAGGACCACACTACAAGTTCACCAACTTTTCTTGTTTGATGTATGTTCTGTAAGACTGTTTGTATATGCAACAACATTTCTATGAATGGTCAATTTCTAGCATCCATGATTTGCATTAAAAATATTCATAACTGTACAAGTATAAACATGACCAGTATAATTGAGAGAGAGAGAGAGAGAGAGAGAGAGAGAGAGAGAGAGAGAGATGTTTACATCAATATTGGCAGCTCTTGTTACGGGACAAGGAGCTCAGAGCACAGTACAGTTTCACTCAATTGTCTCTGCTTTGAGATCTGAATCGTGTTCCATCATATTCTGTAGAAAACTCCTCCCCCCATCTGTATGCAACCAGTTGAGAAGACAGAGATATTCCGGCATCCTGTTTCAGATTTCATTGGACAGCACTTCATGGTTAAGGGCTGTATGATTCACCGAAGCAAAGCAACCGTCATCTTCGTTTGTGAGAGGCATGAAGGCAGGTGCTAAAGGAAACAGTTTGTGGCATGCTAGCCGATATTCATTAGTCTGGGCATGGCAGGTTCCAAAGCTGCCATCTCGTAAGGACTCCAAAACCTTCGTTAAAGTCTGAAGATACATGAGAAAATAACTTTAGCCAGGAGTACTCTGTGGACGCTTCCCTCCCCATTGAGCCCCTGAGCACGCCTTTTTTCTGTTTCCATAGAAAGCCATATGCGTTGCCTGTGGAACGTCCAGGCACTGTTCTAAAGACCCCCTAAAACATTACTTACAGATCCACCTCAAGTTTCAAAGGCATGCTCTCCGTGACGGCATACTGTCACCAGGTGCCATGAATTACCTTCACATTTTTGTCTCTCATAGTTCCGTCTGCTCTAGTTGCAATGGCGATAGCTTTCTCTTGTCTGGAGCTATCCAGAAAAGACATCATTTTGGCACCTGAAAGAGAAGGTGAAGGCATAGTTACATCGAAAGGATGACAGTACAGGAAACTATTCAAAGCCAGACATAGATCCAGAGAAACTGAATTACTGCAGAACGGTGGTGTTCACAAAGACATTTGCTTCTGTTTTCAAAACACACTGAAATTTGCATGATAAATTTTATTTAAAAGCCTTGAAGCAATCGCAAGGCAACAACAACAAGGGAAAATATTAGCATGTTACAGTTAGGAAAAGTGAAGATGTTGGGATTGGCTGCATGCTACCAGCTTCCCCACTCACTGAAGCCTCCGGTCCAGGGGGCCTGATGCCCACCTGAGTGTCACGATCCCCAGCACACGCTTCAGCGGGCCTCCTCTTCCTCCCGCACCAGTGGAAAGGCTGGCAGGGTACACCTCACAATTTCCATGGAAAGGAGGAGCTCATGGAAGCAGTTCTCCCCTCCCCTCCCCAGCAGCCCTCTGGAACAACCTGGGCAGCCTTCGGAATAACATCTCATGCGGCATATGGGGAGAGGGGGAGGGCACAAGAAGGGAGAGTCCGGCAAAACTGAGCAGAGCAGGGCAGGTTCTGAAACTTGTTCCACTTATGCAAGGATGGCAATTCTGCTGAATCCCCCCCCCTTTTTTCCTGCAGCTCCCCCCACCATGCCACATTGTACTCAGGAGGGTCTCCTGGTCCTTGGCAGAGGCTTCTGGGAGGGATGCAGGGGACTGCCGGCAGAAGAGGAAGGCGGGGAAGAACTTCCGCAAAGTCCAAGTTAAAGAGGAGTGGGCAGCTGAGTCTTCAGACAATTGAGTCCTCCTGTGACAGCCAGAGTCTTCCTTAATGGCAAGCTTTACGTCAGTCTGCTGAGCGAGGGCTCTACAACCAGTTCTAGACCAGGCAGAGCTCAGCATACTGTAACTACACCAGTACAAACCAACCTGATAGCTGATGCTGAATGGAGGTAGGGTTGCGTTTGAGGAATTCTTCATTAAAACTTTCCAAGTCTTTACTAATGAAGATCTTCTGCATCTCTTGGGTGAGGACTTTGTTCACGACTTCCGATAAATTGCTGTGATCAGACACTAGAAATGCAAGAAGCATATTTGTGCTGCTGTTTAACGAAACTCCTCCGTTGCTCATCACCCCTTCTTGCTCTGAGCAGTTTATTATTTGAAGGGTTATGTGTAAGAGCTGGCCTTTTGCCTTTATTGTTACTAAACTGCTACCATTTAAAAGATGCATCACAAAAAACATTTGCACACTTGTGGCCACAATGAACAGGTAGCCCTAGAGCAGGGAGTGAAGAAGGACTTTGGAGGATCCCCCTGGCTGAACACGGAGGTGAGTTAAGTAAAACTTCTCTCCCACCTGTACTGTGTCCTTGATTGTCTACCCTTAAGGACCTGACTGACACTGTGAGCCAACTCTACTGTTTTCAACCCCACCCCCCCCACCCCGCCAGCGGAAGGGCGAGCAGAGTGGCCACAGGTTTCCCAGCAGAGGCTTCCCAGCACACGGGAAACGCACTCCTAGGATCCAAGCCTAAGTGTCCGTGCTACTGTTTCTTTTTACTTACCACACTTGGAGAATCTAATCAAACATTCATGGAGCCCTGGGTTATTGCTGTCGATGGCAAAAGCTCTTTTTACAGACTGCAACATTAATAGAAATTTTCCTGCACAAGAACACAATACAATAGTAGAATGTATAATGTTATTTTAACTTTATGTATTTGAGAATACTGTGAGGTCCTCATCAAATTCTCTCTGCTTCTGCTCCCTCCCTCCCTGACAAACTATCCCCATTATTATTTTGAGCAGGGGTCCTCAACCTTTTGTGCAACTTTGGAAGTTTGACTGGGGGGCAGTGAGCACCCCCCCCCAAAAAAAAGAGTCTGCCATGGGAAGCAGAGCCAAATTCACCTCAGGAGGTGGAGTGAAACAGAACACCTCCCTCCTCACGCCTTCTGGGAGGAAGGAAACCCCAAAGTGGGGAGTGGAGCCACACAATGACGTAGGAGAGCCCAGTTGCTTTCTGGTCCTCTTGTCCTACAGTGGAGAGCCTGTTAGCTTGAACGAGGGGAGTCGCAGTGGGCGCCATGGTGCCCCTGGGTGCCAAGGTGGGGGGCCCCTGATCGAGAGTGTGCGCCTCGACACGCACCCAGGAAGCGACACGAACAAGGACAAAGAATGGACTGGACTCAGCACGTGATTTCCACTTGCACTGAAGCTTTCCGCACCAGCCGGAATGGAAGGAAAAGACTGCGGTAACCACTTGCTGTAAGTCAAACATGTCATACCTCCACCTGTGTCTCCACTTGCAAAGACCTCGCAGAACTTGGAGAAACGACGACTGAGGGGTGACATGATTGAGGTTTATAAGATTATGCATGGGAAAGAGCAGGTAGAGAAAGAGGTACTTTTCTCCCTTTCTCACAATACAAGAACCCGTGGGCACTCCATGAAATAGCTGAGTGGTCGGGTTAGAACGGATAAAAGGAAGTACTTCTTCACCCAAAGAGTGATTAACACATGGAACTCACTGCCACAGGAAGTGGTGGCAGCTACAAGCATGGACGGCTTCAAAAGGGAATTAGATAAGCATATGGAGTAGAGGTCCATCAGTGGCTATTAGCCACAAGGTATAGATAGGGACTCTGGGGCAAGTGATGCTCTGTCATCTTGGTGCTTGGGGGGGTCAACAGTGGGATGGCTTCTAATGTCCTGGCCCCACTGGTGGACCTCCTGATGGCACCTGGTATTTCTGGCCACTGTGGGATACAGAGTGTTGGACTGGATGGGCCTTTGGCCTGATCCAACATTGGCATATCTTATGTTCTTCTTATGTTATGTTCTTAACCAACTTCTGCACACTGCAATATCTAGGGAAGGGGGGAAGCGCGCTAAGTCAACCCATGTTCCCATCCGCACATTCCTGGATCCAAGCCAATAGGTTTACGTAGCATGTTAAGTTTATTCTCATGGTTAACCATTCAAATAAACTTATCAATACTTTCTGCTAGACTTCTACAAATACTTCATCACTTGCAGACAAAATGATGCCCTCAGAGTATGAATCTAAACTCAAAACTAGCAAGACGTGCACACAGAAGTGTCACAAGGCCACCCACGCCACATAACATCTTACAACGGCATATACATTACCTTTCCTGAAATAAATTTCAAATGCTAACAGATGCGTGTCAATGTGATCTGCCGCAAGATTCTTAAGTGGTATAAGGAACTTAATAGCTTCCTCTAATGGATTATCAGCCTGTTTTATAAAAAAAAAACCAACGCAAGTCACATCACAATTAAGAGTCATGTCACATTATAGTTTCTAAACATAAAGTCTGCTACAACTTTAAACCACAGCAGTGTCTCACAGGAATGGATAGCTCTCTGCTTTGAGATCTGAATCTTGAATCAAACCAGACAAGTTGTATTGTGCCAACATTTCAAAAGAGAAGAAGAGGAGGAGGAGGAGATTGGATTTATACTCCGCCATTCACGACCCAAAGGTGTCTCAGAGCGGTTTACAAGCTCCTTTCTCTTCCCCTCCCCACAACAGACACCCTGTGAGGTAGGCGGGGCTGAGAGAGCTCTGACAGAAATGACTCTTTTTCAAGAACAGCTCTGACAGAACTATGGCTTGCCCAAGGTCATCCAGCAGGTGCAAGTGGAGGAGTGGGGAATCAAACCCAGTTCTCCCAGCTTAGAGTCTGCGCACTTAACCACTACACCAAAGAGGCTGGATATCTCAGTTCAACTTCCCCACAATCTCAATTTGACTACAGTGGACTGAAACTATCAAATAGATTTTTATCCCACCCATCTTGCAAGGAGCTTAGGGGGGCACATACATGATTCTCCCCCATTTTATCTCCATACCAACCCCATGACAGAGGTTTGGCTGACAGGGTCACTCAGCAAACTTCACACTGCAGAAGTGGGGGTCTGAATCCAAGTCTCAGATTCTGGTCTGGCACGAACTACTATATACTATACCACCCTGTTTACACAAAAGGTCCACTCAACCTTACCTCTCAGACTGAACCTGAAAAGAGAGTGTGAGCAGATACTTCTTTGGAAATGATCACTTGCTGATCAGTAAACAAGGTCCTCCAAGTACACGTACTTACGATAGAATTCTCTGTCCGTAAACAAGAAAACACCTGGGACATAAAACAATCCCAGAAACCTATGGGTTTTGCCACTGGGTACTTCTTTACCCCATTCCATGTAAAAACAGGTTGCTTACCTGTAACTGATTATCTTTTGAGTGGTCATCTGTGCATTCACACCTCTGGGATGTAGTGCGCCTGTGCCAACCTTGATCAGTTCCTCTTGAAAGTGAAAGGGATTTTCGTGCCCACTCCCCAGTCACGC